GGCCCATCTTATTCAATTGAATTTCCTACTTCTCCCGACGTTGAAATTATAGCCATTCGGGCGAAAATTGCCAGTAAACAATTATACGTAACTTGCTCCTATATTCCCCCAAATTTGGATATCTCTTAATATAAGAAACAACCACATGCAAGTGGCAAGGCATACATTTAATCACCTTAGCCACCAATGTTATTGCAGAGATCTTCACTCGACTGAATCCTCACTGCTTGCTAATCCTAGATACATTTCTAAGTTTGTCAACTCGAAAAGAAAAATCTTCATATATCCCTCGCATGTTGTTTTCAATGGCTTTGAGTCCTCTGATGGTATTGTAACCTCAAATCTCTTTGTTGAATACTTTCGACAGAAATTTTTCAATTGCTAATTCCGATTTAACGGTTAACTACACGTACACATATTCGATAGATCCCTAACCTGATCATTTCAGAAAATTACGGTTTATACGACCTGAGGTCTCTAAAATATAATTGTGGGCCTTGACTTGATAGGATTCCATCATGTTGTGTTATTTTAATGATTTTTAATCAGCCCTTCAAATCAGGTGCTTTTCCTTTCCGTTGGAAGAGTACTTTCCTTATTTCGCTTCACAAATGTGGAAACCTATATCATGGCGAGAACTATGGAGACGTTACCAAAAATGAGTGCCTCACCTAAATTGTTTGAGCGAATTGTTACTCAGCATTTAGTTTTTGCTATCTAATCTTATATTTCTCTATTCCAGCATGACTCTGGGAAAGAAAAGTCTGCTGTCACGAATCTCTTGCCATCTTTTCAAGGCTTTTTCTAGGAGCTCTCGCATGGATGCCGTATATACTGATTTTAGGAACGCGGTTGATTGAGTTAACTTATTGATCTTCCAGGCCTCTAGCTTCTCTTTCTAATTAGTGAAATGAATAACCTCTTATCTGCGTAACGGATTTTTCAGGGTTTTGCGTAACTTCATCACCTCGGATAAATTTCCCGCGACTTCTGACGTCCCTCAAGACGCCTAGTTAGGATCCCTTTTATTTAATTTATACATTTGTGTTCTCCCCTCGGTGATTAAATCCAGCAAGATCTTAATGTACGCTGGCGATGTTAAATTGCTTTCTTCCTCCTCCTTGAAACCGCAATCGTCTCATTGGCTTGAGATATGAAGCAAACATTAGTTATGGCGTTGCCAACCTAAGGGTAGAACGCTACTCCTTTGAAAAAGTTTACGCGGTATTAAACCTTGAGCGATGTATCAAATCTCAAGCTCAATAGCCTTATTCACTTTCTCGCCACCTACAAACTGAGCCTAGAAATTTTCTACAAATTATTATATAAAGTATTAACAGTGTCGACAAAACGCCCAAAAAGAATCCGAGATCAGAGATGAGCTGACAAAAACGGGACGATTTGGAAATTCTTATTGATTTTTGATTATAAGGGTACATACATATTACGCTTACGATGTTAAACTGCTTTCTTCCTCCTCCTTGAAATCACAATCGTATCAGCTTCAAATTGGTTTAAATAATTTGGTTACACCGTGCTCGTTACCTTTCATGAAATTAAATCTAAAAATTGCAAGAAGCTTTCTTTCTTAAGAAGGAAGTAATTCAGTACTGGGTATTTCGTTGATTCACACAAATTGGTGCGTTGTTATCGGTTGCCAAGTTTCTGCAATTTTGCAGTGGTTTGGGGGTTCACTTGCAACTTGGATATGTACTGCTTGTGTGTATGCTTCTATATTAACCGTATACATGCCTTTTATCTTTTTTTTTTTTCTTTCCTATTTATTTATACATGAATTATTATTTAATTATTTGTACGTTATTTTGTTGCTTTTTCTTTTCCTCTTTACATCTCCTTATTCACTTTATACTAGTTTTTAATAATAATTAATATAAGATTTTCTTCTGAGGCTCAATTGAATTCGACTGTTAATTTATATTCGTTGAGTTTCATGTGTAAGTAAGTAAATAATCCTTGACCAATGACAGATTACATCCAGCAGCACATTTCTTTAAAAAAGTGTTATTCGCCCAAGAGGTTTCAACAAGCTTACAGTTCCCTAGGCCCTCTCAATTTACCAATTGTTTTACATACTACCCTTGGTGAATTGTTATATCGTCTCATAAACCATCTCTTTCGATTTCAAGACCTAGTTAAAACTTTATTGGCCCCCGATCTGTCGCTTCCATAAACTTATTTATGTTCGTAACAATACTTTTGATTTCGTTTTCACTATAACGAGCAATAATGTATGTACAGAGCGCTGAAAGACGAATTAGCGCCGTAAAGTATACACAAGTGTCGGATTTACTTCTAGTGAAACCCCTTTTAATAAGCACATCCGAAATTTTCTCATTCCAGTGACAGCCCGCCTGTTTCAAACCGTAATTTCTCAGTCCACAAATCGGGTTTCCACATCCTTTTTTTCAAAAAATTTCGTTGGACCATATAAATTTTACCCTCCAAAGCTTTATTTAAATAAGCAGCTACAATACAAATGTGATAGACCAACAAGCGATGTTGAGTAACTGGTGGCAATTATAACCTTAGTGTTGAATGACGTACTACTGGAGCGTAAGTTCCTTAGTAATCAATATTGCATTTATGAGAACAACCTTGAGCCACTAATCTAAATTTATATTTCTCAATAGATACATCAGGGTTTGGCTTCCGATTCGGAACCAACTATATTCTTAAATATTTCTAATATAAAGTTTCCTTCTCATCTTTTTCATTTTTTCCTAGATAAGAATTTTCTAATGACGTTTCAGAGAATAACACGTCACAATCAATCACAATTTTTGTGACCTTTAGTATAACTAGCATATCCACCAAATTTAAACTTCAAAACTTTCTGTATAAATTTTTGGGGTTTTCGATTGTGATCCTTTCTGCACCATGACAGTGTCACAGTCGGTGCACTATTTCTCATATATGATGCCGTATTAATTGCTTCGTCTCATAACAATTGTGGTAAATTAGAATTTCTTAGGGTTCTGTTTCGCTTTTTCCGCTACACCGTTTTGTTGTGGTATGTAACTAGCCGACGTTTGATATATTATACCATTATTCTTGAAGAATTTTGAATTTATAAATTCTGTACCGTTGTCACTTCTGACAATCTTTGCTTTACGATCAGTTTGTTCTTCAGCCATTGAAACGAAATTCCTAAAGGCCTCGAAAACTTCTGATTTCTTCATCGGAAAATGTACCGAAATATAACGTGAGTAATCATCAATGAATGTTATGAAATATGATGAACGTTAAAGATTAGTTTTACATTTATTATCAAGTTTGATATAACAAATCAGAAAGATGGAACGAAGGAAGGAAACAAAAGACTTTGGTATTAATGCCGATGTACGGGATGTAACCTAAACCTTGAATTTAAACTGAACGAACACTCCTAACAAAAACCTGGTCTGCTATTTTCGCTACTTGATAGTACGTGTACTTCATTTTCGATGCGTTTTAAATTTTTTTTATGGTAAGTATCACAAGTATTAAGAATCGATGACAATTTTTTAATATTTGCATAAGCGTCTATTTCTTTATGCAATCACTTTAATTTGCATATAAGAACAAGGATGTGAACAGGCGGCTATTAAACCCGCCCGTAAATATACCATAGGTGACAAATTAAAGTAATATCGAAAGTCATCGCAAATTTCAAAAAAAAATTCATTTTTAGTTTATGACCTACAGAAGATAACGCAATTAAAGTTAAAAATTGAAAGCAAAAAATCCTGACAAGCTTGATAAAAAATCCATAAATGATAAAACAAAAATTTGACACAATTTATACATTTCCTTCCTAGTTTGAATATTCGAAATTAATTCTTAAGACGAAAAAAATGTGTTAAATATTACATATTCTCTATAAGCGCGAGATTCTCCATGCGACAAAAATTGAGATAGAAAATTTAAATTTGCTGTATATTGGCAGATACATACAACGGACGAGTGAGATAAGAAAATTACATACGGGTGCAGCCGGATCTTCTATATTCATCACCTGTATTTTAAAGATCAATTAAAAATAAATAATCTATTATATTGGATTAACGTGCGGTTTTTTTGCGGGTACAGCTAAGACAATGGAATGTAGGTAGAAATTTTTGTCGTTGGCACTGTTGAGGTATATGGAAAGACTTTTTAATTTTAAAAACAACGGTGTTCTCAGTTCATATTTTACTTCGGATACGTCTTTTAACCTTTTCAATGCTTGCCAGAAGCTGTCAACTTTGTTAGTTTGATATCTTAACCCTTAAACGCATGAATTTTTATATTTAAAATAGAAAGAAATTATACTCTTATAACAATGAAAATTGTCACGGAAAAAGAAATACACTGTCAAAGATTCGACTTACGTTCGGAAACGATAAAATGGTTTTGCAAAATATTAAAATTAAAAAAAAAAGACTATATAAAGGCTGCTTCGTAAAGAGATATGAGATTTTAAAGGGTTTATCACACGCGGACACATAGGGAGACGGAAGGACATGCTTACACCGATTCAGAATTGAATACTGATCAAGAATATATTTTATTTACAGCGTCTGTGAGAATTTCTTTTGGATTTTACAAAAGTTTTGAGAAACTCAACATATCCTCAATCGTTCTGTAAATAGAACTTCTCTGTCTTGAAAGCTTTAAAATAGTAATTTTAAGAAAGAGTGGTAGTTTAATCGCTTTATCTATTTATGGAGAGTAAGTATATGTTAAAAATTTGTTTTAAAAATGAAAATAAACGAATAAAAATTAATTTACGTATATGCACCGATAGATCCGCACAAGAGACCTTGAAAATTACGATTCAAAGCATTTGAAAAAAGTTCTCCACTCCTTTTATTTCAAATCAGACGAACTAATATTATTGATCTTTCGTGCACAAATTGCGAGTATCACCAGACTAAAGGTTTACCATTTAAAAGCTATAAATTTATTAGTATTTATGCCTGGCAATAAAAAATAAGAAGAAGAAAACAGCTGTTAAACCTAACAAAAAATGTAATTTGCTGCTAAGTTTGTTGTTACCACAAAGAATCATTGCAAAAATTGTTTTAACAGGCCAAGTATCTGGAACCATAACGGCCACATCCTTTTAATAAACCAAAAAAATAAAGAAAGAGTTTTTTGTTTTAACCACAGTCACCTGAAATCAGAAGGCAACGTAATGTTTCGTTTTTATTCAAACAATTGTAAAAATGTATTAAGAAATCTTGACATGCGATCTTATTCGTATTTCAATGAAATACCACCAGAATATGATGTTTTGATAATTGGCGGTGGGCATGCAGGCACTGAGGCTTCTGCTGCAGCCGCGCGTATGGGAGCACGTACTCTACTGGTTACGCATAAACGTGAAACAGTGGGTGAAATGTCTTGTAATCCTTCTTTCGGAGGCATAGGTAAGGGTCATCTAATGCGTGAAGTTGATGCTTTGGATGGTGTTTGTGCTAAGTGCTGCGATAAATCGGGTGTGCAATATAAAATCTTAAATAAGCGGCGCGGGCCGGCCGTTTGGGGACCAAGAGCACAAATTGATCGTAAACTATATAAGAAAGCAATTCAAGAATACCTCTTCAACATGGAGAACTTGGATATCTGTTGTGCGCCAGTAGATAATTTGCTTATCGAACCAACCGCTTGTGGTCACGGTGTGCAGTGCAAAGGCATAATTCTGCAAAGTGGTCAAATATTAAAAAGCCGTACTGTTGTTCTAACAACTGGCACGTTTTTAAGAGCTAATATTAATTTCGGCTTGGAAGTACGACCAGCTGGACGTATGGGTGATGCTCCGGCTATGGCTTTAGGCAAAAACTTAGAAGATATTGGCTTTCGAATGGGTCGTTTAAAAACAGGTACTCCACCACGTTTATTGCGAAATACAATTGATTTTTCCCAACTTTCAAAGAATATGGGAGATAATCCTCCTGTACCTTTTTCTTTCATGAATGATCACGTATGGATTCAGGCCGATGCTCAACTGCCTTGTTATCTTACCTATACGACAATGAAAGTAAATCAAATAGTTAAAGATAACTTGCACGTCAATCGTCACGTTACCGAAGAAATAACGGGACCACGTTATTGTCCGTCCATAGAGTCGAAAGTTTTGCGTTTTGGCGAGAAATCGCATCAAATATGGTTAGAACCAGAAGGATTTGAAAGCGATTTAATATACCCTCAAGGCTTATCCTGTACTTTACCTTATGAGCTGCAAGAGGAACTGGTGCATTCCATACCAGGTCTAGAAAAGGCCCAAATAAAACAACCTGGCTATGGTGTTGAATATGATTATATAGATCCGCGCGAATTATATTGTACTTTGGAAACAAAACGTGTGCAAAATCTTTTTTTCGCTGGCCAATTAAATGGCACAACGGGTTATGAAGAGGCCGCTGCTCAAGGCATTATAGCGGGAGCTAATGCAGCAGCAAAAACCGTGCATAAGTCTGCGAAAAATTTATCAATCAGCCGGACGGAAGGATATATCGGTGTTTTAATTGATGACTTAACCACTTTAGGTACTAACGAGCCCTATCGCATGTTTACTAGTCGTGCGGAATTCAGGCTAATGCTTCGACCTGATAATGCAGACATAAGGTTAACTGAAAAAGGCTTTCATTTCGGTTTGATAACATCCGAACGCTATAAACGATTTATAGCCACTAAAAATAAGCTAAATGAGGCTATGGACTTGTTAAAAAGTATAAAGAAGCATACCAATTATTGGCGTCAATCGTTACATTTACCCACATCTAAAACTTCAATAGAGAAATCTGCCTTCGATATGTTGGGTATACCTAGCGATAATGTAACACTGAAACAATTAATAGATTTATTACCTCAGGAACTCGGCCATCTTAGTGATATAACTACATTGGCTGACAGAATTAAAATAGAAGCTTTGTACAGTCATTTTGTTGAAGAGCAAATGCAAGAAGTAAACGAAGTAAGACGTGAAGAACATTTAATCATACCAAAAGATATTGATTATTTCGCCAAAAGTCTAAGTTTGTCCAATGAAGAACGTCAAAAGTTAACTATGATACAACCCCAGACTATAGCAGCTGCCAGCCGTATACAAGGTGTAACTCCTTCTACCATAGTCAGACTTCTAAAGCATGTCAAACGTATAGATCAGGAAAATATAGCTTTAAGCAATAATTAGAAGTGAATGGTAAAAAATAAATGATAAGCAATGGATTAAAAAAAGAGCTTTATTCCTTGAGGAGCAGCTTAATAAACAATAACTCCAATACGTGAGTTATCTAAGCTGATAATGCAATATAAGGAAAAGTAATAAAACAAAAAATATTTTTCATGCTCGTAGGACAAACCTGCCCTATTACTCTCAAGTAAATCGTATAAGTTTCATTCCAACGCTTCCGATATAAAGGCTGACTAATGGTAACGTGTCTGCTCCATGTGTGACTTCCGACGTACAATAAAAAATAGCAGAATAGTTAAGAACCGCTTTTAACAAGTCATAATTGGCGGGCTCAGATCTCAATGCGGTAAAGTTTACCGCATTGAGATTTTTATAGGCGTGGCATTTCGACCGTGTTCGTAGCTATGGTGAGGCATAACTTTTAGTTGAAATTGCAAAAACCATAACACATTGATTGGCAACACAGACCCATTGGACAGCGGCCACCTCCCTATATCTTTCGCTTTCTTCACTTCTTCCTCTTTCTGGCCGTCACCGCATTGCACGACACATTCCCTTAACGATTAGTCATCTAAAAAAGATAGATGTGGAAAAAAGAAGCTACAGGATTAGAGGCCAAAAGTTGGAATGCCCATGAAAGTATGTATCAGTAGCAATAATAACTGATTTAAAATGTATAAATAATACATTCACCGTCTTGGCCTCGATTATAATGTAAATGCAATCTTACGACATTAGTGTATTTTTACTTTTGTCTCCCCCTGTCTGCGCGGTGATCCCAAATTTTTTTTCTCTAGTTGCTTGCAACAGAAAATGCACAGCGTAATCAGTGACGCACATACAATAAATTTATGAACTAGATAATAAGATGAAGACTCTGTTATCATGTACGAAGAGTAAATAAAGTAGCAATGATCTTGTCTAGGAAATCAAAAGGAGTTATGATTCGTGTATGTTTTTTGATTTGAAAATCCACTTGTGGGAAATTATGTAGTGTTTAAAGCTGGAGACTGAGATGCTGACATCTTCTTTATTATTAGACAACAGTTCTTACATCAATATTTAAAAAAATAAATAAGAAAATTATATTTGATCATGGCCGAATCTTTTACACGCACCACCGTCATCCTAAAAAAGACAAAAAAGTGCGAGAACAAAATTTTGATGCTCTACAATATGGAGTGAGCGAGACTGATTTTTTTCTATTTTCAAAATAACAGTTTTTGTCGAATAGGCCGGCGGGCGTTGTTGGCGTGTCCTTTGAACAGTGTAAGTCACTTTCAAATGTTTTTGCAAATTTGTAAGCGATATCTTTAATTTTCGCTAAAATGGAAATGTTTACCACAAATCCGTACACAAACAGATGGACAGGCGAACAGGCAGACATGTTTAGGTTCAGTCCAAATTGAAAGTTTGCGAGAAATTTATTTACTTTATCGGGTTTTTGAAGTTTGTTTCTGCGCCTTATAAAGATGTTGAAAAAAATATATTGAATTTTGATAAACCATAACATTGGGTAGGCGTAGTCATTTTTTTTTATTTTTGTACAATTTTTATATTTTTTGTCCACAGATTATGCGTTCAATTTTTGTGTATTTACCTCTTTGTGGATAATGATCAAAAGGCCAATTTTTTATTCCTTTTGAAAAAGAACGGTTTTTTCACTTTAGGTAGTATTGTGCGTGTGTCCCATTGCTTAAATTGATTTAATATTTGATGCAAATCAAGAATATACATACATACTTTGTGGAGTCTCTGATGCTTGCTTCTGGACGCTGCATTGTACTGTGATTGTAAATACGATTTCAATGGTGATATGTATTTTTTAATTCTACTCTGCATTCGGTTGCTTACCTGTGAACGCTTTGCCACCAATACTTGGCAACCCTTAGCGGATCATGAAGTTTATTAATTGCTTATCAACAACGTGATAGTAACTGTGATAATTTTCTGATGCATTTTTATAGGTTTTATCTACATTTCCTACGCACACAAGTAAACAGTAAATGTTTTGTGTAAATTGTCTATCAAAGTATATTATATATAAATATATATATATATATATATATATATATATATATATATATAACGCTTTTAAATAAAATAAGTTAAATAATGAAAGTATTCCACACAGAAATTTTATCCAAAATTAAAGTGCGACATGGCGTTCTCCACCAAAGCAACAAGTGATCGTAAATATTGTTTTGCCATAGATCGTGGCGGCACCTTTACAGATGTTATGTGCTTATGTCCAGATGGTCGGGTGCGTACATTGAAATTACTTTCTGAAGATCCATTGCGTTATGATGACGCTCCTCGTGAAGGCATCAAACGTATTTTGCAAGAAGTAAGTAAAATTAAAAAAGTCGAAGGATTTCAGTCTGTCGTACTTAGACATTCGATGAATGACTTGGGGTTGAATCGTAGGCTTCTTTTTCTGACAATGTTTTCATACACAAAAGAAGTAACGGAAACAAATGCTTTACCAATTAAACATTCTAAACGAATATACTTAACTCTCTATTCGTCCGCTTGCTGCTGGTATTCTAAAACCTCAAGAATTGTGCCAAAAATCCTATTGTTTTATATTTTCTGGTCAATTTCTCAAGTAATAATATCCGCGTAATCTGCTTGCTTTGTGAAAAAATTACAAAGAAAGAAGTAAGTAGGAAAGACTACGTCCTTTTTTTAGCTCCTCCTAGTTAAAGCCGTCCCAAGCACAAGGAAAAATCTCATGGGGATATATTTATTTACAATTTTTTTAACAAAAAAAACATAATATCGATCGATTATGTGACTGATCCATAATCAATAAGGAATTAAAAAATTTTCATAAACTTGTCTTACGTATCTGTTTTAGGTGAGTATTGAAGCTACAAGGTTTTTTACTAATTACTTAATATAACCTCCTAAATACTTTCCTCCAGGAAACGGGTAAAGCTATCGGCGAAGAAGATTTGATAGATACTTCTCAAATAAATTGGATACGTATGGGCACCACTGTAGCTACTAATGCTTTATTAGAGCGTAAAGGTGATCCAGTGGCTTTGCTGGTAAATGAAGGTTTCCGTGATTTGCTCTACATTGGCAACCAGGCGCGACCAAAAATCTTTGAGTTAGATATACAAAAACCTTCAAACCTGTATAGCACCGTATCCGAGATAAATTGTCGTATTGTTCCCGCCCAAAAAGATAGGTGTCAATTAAAAGAGAGTATGTTTTTGTACGACACCTCTAGAGTCTTTTTTCAAAGCTTCCATTATTAGAGAAAAATTGGAAGATTTTGCGAGGCGCTGGTGATTCACAATACTTTGAAATATGTTCCGTGAATGAAGTTGAGGTCACTAAGACCTTACAGCTTATCAAAGATCGTGGAATTAATTCTTTAGCAGTAGTTTTGGCCCACAACTATTCTTGTTCAGAACATGAGTTGAAAGTTGGTGAAATAGCCAAAAAATTGGGCTTTGAATTTATTACACTTTCACACCAAGCTATGCCAATGAGCCGTTTAATTCCCAGAGGTTATACGGCTTGCGCCGAGGCTTACTTAACACCACATGTTGTACGATATTTAAATAGGTAGGCGGTAGCTTTTGTTTCTTGGTTCGTTTATCAATATTTTATTTTCTACAGTTTCAAATCTGGTTTCGCTGATCAGTTGAAAGGCATTGAGGTCTTGTTTATGCAGTCCGACGGTGGTTTAACACAAATTGACAAATTTCGCGCTGCCCGGGCTATATTATCGGGTCCGGCGGGTGGTGTGGTAGGCTATGCGATGACAGGAGAACGGGAAACCACTTTACCATTGATTGGTTTCGATATGGGTGGCACGTCCACAGATGTATCGCGTTATGCCGGCACATATGAACATGTAGTGGAAAGCACAACAGCAGGAGTCACGATTCAAGCCCCGCAACTGGACATTAACACTGTAGCCGCAGGTGGCGGTTCTCGCTTGTTCTTCCGTTCAGGCTTATTTGTTGTAGGGCCAGAAAGTAAATTAACTCAAATTTTATGTAGAGTTATTTTTTATGTTGTGTTTTTGATACTTTAGGTGCTGGCGCTCATCCAGGACCAGCTTGTTATAGGAAAGGCGGTCCTTTAACTGTGACCGATTCCAACTTAATATTGGGGCGTTTGCTACCACAGTACTTTCCTAAAATTTTTGGGCCTCAAGAAAATGAATCTTTAGATATCGAAGCGACGCGAAAACAATTTTTAGAATTAACGGATACGATTAACTTGAGTCAAAAAGAGACTGTACAAATGTCAGTCGAAAAAGTGGCTTTGGGCTTTATACGTGTAGCCAACGAAGCCATGTGTCGTCCGATAAGAGCTTTGACACAAGCTCGTGGCTTAGATACCTCAAAACATGTTTTGGTGTGCTTTGGCGGTGCGGGCGGGCAACATGCTTGCGCCATAGCCCGCGAGTTGGGCATTTCTAAAGTATTAATACATAAATATGCCGGTATACTTTCAGCTTATGGTATGGCTTTAGCTGATGTTGTTCAAGAATTACAAGAACCTTGCTGCTTAGACCTGTCGTCTGCAAATGAGGACAATTTAATGCAACTTTTAAGTTCCTTACAAAAACGATGTCGTTTCATTTTAGAAAATCAAGGTTTCAAAGAGATTGACTTAGAATCTTATCTACATTTGCGTTACGAGGGCACAGATGGTGCTTTAATGTGTATGCCTTCCAAGAAATCTACCATTGGCGCGAAATGGTTAGATGCTTATCAAGAGACTTTTTTGGAGCGCTATCGTACGGAATATGGTTTTATTTTAGAGAATCGCCGTATTATTGTTGATGATGTACGCGTAAGAGGATTGGGGAAAACATCAGCTTCTCCTGTAAATAAAATTGCAGAGGCTAAAGATCATCAACCCAAAGCCGAAGCCGTTACGCCGATTCACTTTGAACAAGGATTGCTTGAAGCACCAATTTATTTAGTAGAGAATCTTTTATATAAACATCGTGTGAAGGGTCCAGCTCTGATTATTGACAAACTTTCTACTATTGTGGTGGAGCCAGAGTGTGAAGTTGAAGTAACCGAATATGGCGACTTGATCGTGCACGTGCAGTCCTCTAAGCAAAGTGAGATCGATGAGAAACTTAATGCGATACAACTGAGCATATTCAGTCATAGGTTTATGAGCATCGCTGAACAAATGGGCAGGTAAAAGTGAATTAATTCCGAATGGATGGCTGATACTAAAGATTATTTTTCATTGCAGAGTTTTGCAACGTACTTCCATTTCAACTAATATTAAAGAGAGACTTGATTTTTCTTGCGCTTTATTTGGAAACGATGGCGGATTAGTTAGCAACGCTCCGCATATACCAGTGCATTTGGGGGCCATGCAAGAAACTGTACAATACCAGTTGAAAGTTCGAGGAAAATCCTTAAAAGATGGTGATGTTATACTTTCAAATCATCCTCAGGCCGGTGGGTCACACCTGCCTGATTTAACTGTTATCACTCCGGTATTCTATAAGTGAGTTCGGTCTAAATGCATTATTTGTACCAATTATCATTGAAATATATCTTAAAGGGGACACGATGGACCTGTCTTCTTCGTAGCTTCTCGAGGTCATCATGCAGATATTGGAGGTATTACGCCTGGTTCTATGCCACCCCATTCTACTAGCTTGGCACAGGAAGGCGCCTCATTTAAATCTTTCCTCATAGTAGAGAACGGCATTTTCCAAGAAGAAAAGGTTACAAAGCGTTTCACTACTCCGACGGGAGCAAAGGGAGCCACAGGCACACGAAATTTATCTGACAACATATCGGATCTGAAAGCGCAAATAGCAGCTAATCAAAAAGGTATACAGCTTGTTTCAGATTTAATCGATAACTATGGCTTGAAAGTGGTTCAAGCCTATATGCTATATATTCAACAAAATGCTGAAATAGCTGTACGTGATATGCTGAAAGAAATAGCGATAGATACTCGAAAACGGACAGGATCTTTTGTTTTGCGAGCAGAGGAGTTTATGGATGATGGTACTCCTATTCGCTTAAAAGTGACCATAGATGCTGATGAGGGATTTGCTGAATGTGACTTCACAGGATCCGGCCCGGAAGTTTGGGGTAATTGCAATGCTCCCCGCGCTATTACTCTATCTGCCTTAATTTATTGTTTGCGCTGCATGGTAGGCCACGACGTACCTTTAAATCAAGGTTGTCTAAGACCTATTCAAATAAAAATACCTAAAAACTCTATATTAGATCCTTCAGAAGGAGCTGCTGTAGTAGGAGGTAATGTTTTAACTTCTCAACGAGTGGTGGATACGGTTTTAAAAGCTTTTGGAGTGTGTGCCGCTTCGCAGGGCTGCATGAATAATGTCACCATTGGTGATGAGCAATGGGGTTATTATGAAACTGTTGCTGGCGGTTCTGGAGCCGGCCCCTCGTGGAATGGTATTGGCGGTGTACACACTCACATGACTAACACCCGCATAACTGATCCTGAAATACTCGAGTTACGTTATCCGATTATTTTAAAACGTTTCTGCTTAAGAACAGATGGATCGGGTGGAAAAGGCAAATATTGCGGTGGCGAAGGTGTAGAACGACATTTGCTCTTCCGCAAGCCAGTTACTTTGTCGATTTTAACAGAACGTAGAACTTTAGAACCGTATGGGTTGGATGGCGGTGAACCAGGCAAACGTGGCCTTAATTTATTATATAAACCTGACGGTCGCATTATATCGTTGGGTGGCAAAACTTGCATTGATGTTGAAACGGGGGTAAGCGCTTAAAGAAACAGTATAACTTTCCTTTAATTTTTTATTTTTTTAAGGATATGTTTGTTATGAAAACTCCAGGTGGTGGTGGTTACGGCACTTGCATAGGTAATGACAATGATAATGATAAAGACGGCACATGTACGAGTAACACTCGAAAGGATATTCATAAATTTCAAGAACGAGGATCTGTATTCGAATACCGCCAAGCACAAGAAACAGTGTAAAATACAGTATCTTTTACTATTGCTAATGGGCCCATTATTGTTCGATTGAGCCAAGCTTTAAAATAATTGTAAATATACAAACAAAAAATTTTATGAAAATAAAGTTAATTATCCAACGTACATCCAAACACTTAAGCAAACGGCATCAAAATAACGCCTGGAGGCTTTTTTTAAATAGATGCGTCTTTGACTGCTTGCATTTCGTCCAGAGCGGAAATTTTTGTAAATAAAGGATATACAATAAGTAATAAATAAGCTTAAAACAATTGAATATGCCATCAGGCAGCCACATTAATGTCGAAAGCCCTACAACTTGACGGCCATGTCATGTTGGCCGATCAATCGAAGACCAAATTAGAATAATTGGCCATAATGGTCTTTCTTTGTTTTAGAGGGAAAGAACCTAAAAACCAAGGCGTCTGACTTACGATTATCCTTCGCATTACTGGAAATAATATCGGTATTATTTAAAAGTCTGCCACAGCGTAATTGAGCAGATAGACAGATGGGCAGATGAACGGGCAAGCATGTTTAGGTGCATTCCAAGTATGAAATTGGCCAGAAATTTATATGCTTTTGAAGTTTGTTTCTGCGCCTTATAAAAGTATTGAAAAAAATATAAAATATTGATACACTATAATATTGGGTAAACGCGGTCAATTTTTCCATTTTTGTACAGGTGCTATAGCATCGCCAATAGAATATGCGTGCAAATTTTTGTACATTTAACTGCTATAGTATAAGCAAATGCGCAAAAAACAAATTTTTTATTCCTTTTGAAGATTAGAGAGAATGTTTACAACAGACTGCTTGCAACGGGCATAACACAGACGGACAGAGATACAGACAGAGAGACGGACAAGCTTAGATCAATTTAGCATTTGATGCTAGTCAAGGATACATTTACTTTTTGGTCTCTCTGATGCTTCCTTCTTTTACGTTTTGGCAAAAGTGTTCGGTGATGGATATAAAAGCAGTACATAAAAACTAGTTTACCCTAAGTAAGTAAGTATTGATGATTTGTTTAATTCTATTTCGCCAAAGAATGCACTCTAAAGCCGATTTACGTAATCATTTGCAAAAGCATTATAAAAAAGACATACTCCTTGCTGATATCTTTCATTTTCTTGCACCGCAAACAATTTAGAACAGCGAAACGTGTGATCAGATAGAGGAGATCAAAGGCGTTCTTCCCTGACTTCCTTTAACAAGTGCTCGGACCTTTTCTACAAAACAAAATTAATAAAATACTAATTGGAAACTCATAAAATGTTGAGAAACGTGGAGAACGACTTCCAAGAAAAACCAAAAATAATTTTTGATTAATGAACGCGTAACATTTGGTTTGGCTTGGTATAGGGCATGAAATTTTTCATCGCGCAGTAGATCGTCATGGTGAATGGTTAGGAAGAGTGCTCCTGATCAGATAGATATTATATCGCTTCCAATTACTTGCTTATTGTATGAGCCGTCGTCAACGGCTTGCTTGCTCTTATACTTGGTAGAGTCAGGCGTTAAATTACGAAGAGATTGACTACTCTCTCTTGTGTGAGCGTTAAACGACACAAAGTGAATTGTTAATAAAACATAAAAGTCCGAATTGGTTTGAACAAAGATAAAACACGGCAGCGTTATGTCATGCAAAGTGAAACATTTATAAAAGGTTTAATTAACGCCAAGTCGCGGAGCAGAGCCTAGTTGCGAAATCCGGTGCGTTACCTATTAGTTCGTGGCGTTTAATTAAAAATCGCTTCCTTAAATAGTCTCTCAGTTGAATAAGTTCTAAATCGCTAAACGTAGAAGTCGTAAATTAAAGGGTGTGCATAACCCTAAGCCTAGGAAGCCCATGAATAAGGTCAACTATTGCACCTAAAGATAGTGATTATTAATTTTCTGGCGATTCATCTTTCAAGTGACATTCGACTCAAAGAAGTACCAACGAAAAAACTTGCCTTAAGAAGGAACCCGCTAAACCGGACCAGTAATCGCCTTGTTTTAGAAATTAGCATATACGATATTGCGTAGAAACGTTGCAGAGAAGGGCTGAAATTGCAAAAGTTGACAAAAAAAGAGAGAAGAAACAAGTCAGAACATTATAGTCGGGCAAAGCTGACGACTAGATGCACAGCAACGTTTCGTGTAGTACAGTTATTCAACAGTTTTGGTAATAACACGCTCCATTATTTTTATCCAAAGGCAAACTTTTCAGAAAGGCCCGCATTTTGGCGGATTCCCAAAACATCACATGGTGTGATCCAAGTTTCGCAAACTTAATTCCAATAACCATCTAGAAAACAGAGTTTCTCTCCACATAAAAACGTGCCGTTCGTGATACCAACTTTATTTTTAGGGTTTAACAAATGGACCAAAAAAATGGAAAGTTTAATTTTGATCCACTTCATTTTACTCTCAAATTACTGTCATCAAGAAATTTCGCTCGTAAAACATTCGCAATAAGGTCTTTTTGGCTTTTATGGGGCTACGGTTCATTTGAGTTCTTATATGTGATGGTATCCAAGAAAATAGACCTGCAAGTCCAAATTCGCTAAGGCCTGATTTTTTTTCATTTTACTATGATGAAACGATTTTCATCACGAAATATTGAAAACTATATCTCTTGGCCATGCAAAAAGAGGCAGTTTTCGTAGCAACTTTTATACGGAAGAGGGTTCAACGAATTACCACAGGCGAATTAAATTTTTGATTCCAATTTAAAAGGTCAAAATAGACGGTTTTTCAACATAAAGCTTTATTATATGACACGGCATGGCACGGCAGTATCAAATTTCATCAAAATATCTCGAAAGTTCCTACCTGTAGATTAAACCGTTCTCCGCGTAACGTACGTCTGCAGAGACTTGCACTATACTTCGCACTATAGGTGGTGTACGATATTGACGTCCATGAAGACCTGTAATTTGTTAAGAAATCCAGATGCGAATTGAACAATAACTTTTTCTACTACGCATTTTTTTTTCAAAATCTACGCTAGAAGGCGACAAGGAGGAGAAGTATCGCAACCCCGGTGTCGTATCCCAGAATCGAATTGGGAACAGAACGCAAGTATCACACCCCTGATGTCGTATCCCAGATTCGAACTGAAGAAAAAATGTTCGTGCTACGCATTCATTCTGCGAAATCTATGCTAGAGGCAGAGACAGGGAATAGAGGTATCACACCCCTGGTGTCGTATCACAGATTCCAACTGAAGAAAAAATGTTCGTGCTACGCATTCATTCTGCGAAATCTATGCTAGAGGCAGAGACAGGGAACATAAGTATCACACCCCGGGTGTCGTATCACAGATTCGAACTCAACAAAAATTTTCCTACTACGCATCATTCTCCAAAATCTGTGCTAGAAGCAGGAACAGGGAACAGAAGTATGACATTCCCAATGCTTTTAAAAAGATCAACCCCTTTTTTTTGGCAGCGTTGACGGCTCACTCATTACCCTTCAAAGTCAAAGTGTACAGTGATCCTTGCCAGTAATATCGTCGCAATAATTATATGAAACATTTACCAACTAATCGCTAAGGACTTGTTAACATCTGAACTTTCCATAAAAAACATTTCACTTTATATTTTACGGTGTTTATTTTAGTTTCTTTGTTTTTTTTTTTTTTTTTTTTTTTTTTTTTCTTTATAAGATTCAATAAAATAATACGGATTTTCAAGAAGTTTCATTTTTTTATTTTTTTTTTTCTTTTTTTAAATTTTAAGGGTTAATTACACAATATTTGTTTTGTATTTTCTTTTTTTTTCATTATTATTTATTTATAACTTTTGATATCTATGAGCTGGTGATGAGTGGTAATGATAATGTGAATTTTTTATTTAAAAGAGAATTTGTTTGTTAACAAAAAAAAAAAAAAAGGAAAGAAAAAATACTTTTTTACTAACAATTTTACTTAGACTTGCATTAACATCCAATTATTTAATGAATGAATGAGCGAATGCGTAGAGGTTTGTTCTTTAGTTATATATTTTGCATGCGGATTATGGTGTAACGGTAATTTTATATTTTTAAAATTTCATTTAGCTTTCGTTTGTTGTTGTTGTTGTTGCTGTTCTTTTTATTGTTCATATTTAACTAGATTTTTACTTTATTGGATTTTCATTTAAGAGTATCTTGAAGTAGTGTAGATAATATTTTATTTTTTGTGTGGCTTTGTTTTATTTATTTATTTATTTTTTTTTTTTTGTATTTTTTTTAAAGTAATATAAAAAGAAATTAGAAAAAATATTTGTAATAATTGTAATAATAATGATAATAATAATAATAACAAAACTTATTTTTTACACGTTTTTTTATGTGTATATATATATATATTTATTCGTAGTAATACATATACATATATGCGCAATTATACTTAAAATATTGTACATAATTTATTTTTTCTTTTTTTTTAACCTCATTTTTACCAAAATTAGTTTCTTTTTTTTAATTTAAATTTTGAATTTTGTTCTTTTGTGTTGCTCTCGTTCGTTACGGATATATATATATATATATATATATATATTTTTTTTTTATTAAATAAATTAATTAATACTTTTTTTATTTATTTTTTGTATTTGTATCACAGATGGCTCAAGATTTTCGAAATAGTTTAATTTTCTTTTTTTGGTTTTATTTCAGTTGTTTGTTTTTTAATTTTAAAATTTTGAAACAAAAAAAAAAATTTATTGACAGCAAAAATACATTAAAATTGAAATAGAGACCGTTTATTTATTATAAACTTGAGAAATTTACCAATAGTTTCAATATCCATCACCGAGGCATCTTGGCAATCTTGGCGCTCTATGTATCTCTGTCTGTGGGGATATCATGGGCCGTTTGTCTGTTTTTAGTCCAGGATATACTTCTACTAAATCTTTATTGCTAATCCTTCTAACTGTATGTATATGTGCTACATTTCTTTTCCCCTTGAACCACACAAGTGTATTAAGTTCGTGCAAATGGACGCAAAACTCCGGAAGACTTGAGATAGACTCACATTTTGTTATGCCGATCGATTCATAATTACTTTCTCATCTGATCTGAGCTTGTCTGTCCGTCTGCCCGTCTGATATCTTCCTATATATGTTGCACAAGGCGCAAATTTTTTAGATGTTTTGACGAAATTT